TACAAAGCTATGTCTTTCACTTGAGGACCTTGAGCTCGGTTCTCTGCTACTTTGGAAGTTCACTCATGCTGAGGGTTCAGGGCGACATTGTTAGCACAGCAGCTTTGATGGCCAGAATCGGTAGATACGGTAGGTGCCATTATATAGCTTTTGTAGGAATGACTTCGAACATCGTTCCCACAAACGACACCAATTGATGTGCAACAAAGTGTACAGTCTCGACAAACCAGGTCAAGGTCAACCAATGAGCGAGCTGGAAGATCTGTTGGCGAGGAAGGACCTGTATAAGGAAGCAAATACTCCGACGCTCAAGTCAATAAGGAGATCACTTGATATTAAGACCAAGATAGAATTAGATACCTGACTGTAGAGTGGGGCAGGCCCCCTATTTATTGGTTGGGGTATCGACAATGCCTCCAACCGGCTAGTTGAGTGTGTCAAGTTGCAACTGTTCCTGTCGAAGATGCTCGTGCTGGTCAAGTTGAGTTTAAAACCTCTACACCCACAATTTGGCTCAGTATGACCGGTCGTTCCAGTGATGGGATGAATGTCTGAGGTCGACCAGGTGGTCAGTCACCTATTGTCTCAGTTAGGCTATCTCGAACTGCTAGAAGATTATTAAATCTTGGTCCTCTACATGGCAATGTCGTTTTACAACTCCAAAAATTTTCAATAAGCCATACTTGGATCGACAGTATATAAAAGAAAGAAAATGGAAATTAGTAAAGAAAGCCTCATGGGTGTGTATTCAGTTGACAAAGATGTAGCATTCACAAGATAAATGTGAGAGGAAACACACTAGGCGATACGAAATGGCCAAGTTTCGTAAAAAAGTAAATAAAAACAAAACTCCAGAATCCAAAAGCATAAATGTTGCCGTTGGTATTACAAAGCCATCCATTCCATAGAAGAAACCACACGTAACTAATATTCTTTTATGACATAAAACTTAGTTTTGGGAAACATCCATCGCCAACCACTCTTCCCAAAACCATTTTAATTAAATAATTAATAAAATTTCACTCAGAAATACATACATGTCCATATCCCAATATTAATTTCATACAAATAATATTATTTTTTATTTTCCTATTTTATATGAAAATTAAAATAAATAAAAAAAGGACGATGGGCCAGTGCATGAAGAATCTTCACGTGTATACTACATTCCAACAGCAAAGACAAAGCCCCTAATATTAAATTAATTCTATAATTATTTTATTTGTCCAATTGCCGGAGAGAGAGAGAAAGAGAGAGAAAATATGTTTTTTATTTTTTCTAATTTTTAATAAATAGTTTAAAATTGGGAAGAATTTGGTGGACAACCTAATACCTAACCCTCATACTCGTACTGACTACAAAATATACTGAAACGCAGGGCCGCTTCTTCACCTTCTTCAGACCAATTATTATTATATATTATTTATATTTATTATTATTATCTTCTTTTTAAAAATTTTTTAACGTTATTCTTTTACCAATTATTCTATTCTTACTGTGTTTTTTGTTTGGGCATTATTTATTGCTGCAGCTTAAACATATGAGGACAGAGTCGTGCGTTACTTATTATATTATATGAGGAAAGGAATTAATTATTGGGAAATCCGTTTCGGTTTTTCCTTTAAAATAGAAAAAATATATATATATATTTATTTGTCATCTCTGATTCCTTTCCATGCATGAAATTAAGTGATGAAAGAGATATACTAATATATGTCTATTTGCCTAAGATAGAATTTTCTAGTTCTACTCTGTAATTGGTTGGTCACAACAATTTCTATTCTTTAATTCAACTGGGCTTTGAAGGAATTTTGTTGGCAGTTTTTTTTCCTTATTTATCTATTTTTTTTTTTTTTTAGTTTTGAATTTCATCAAAACTATGAACTTTCTTATTTCACATGTTGTAAATTTGATGGGAGATTTATTTTATATGATCTTTACGATATATATATTAAACGGTGAATAGTTGTTAATTATTTTTGGAACAATTTTATGTCATTTATATAATTTGAATTCTACACTTATCCCTAATAATGATACAGTTTATTCTTTATTTGTTCTATTTTTTATTGAAATTAAATCAATTATTAAGTTCTAGAACTAAATTGAATCATGTTAAATTTAAAAATTTTATTGAAAACAAAAATTGTTATGAAACAATGTTTTAGAAATTTTTTTTTAGTACTAATATTTTAGAATTTAGAAGCATATATTAAATTACTTAAGGAGAGCATGTAAAAATAATATTCTAGAGTTGGACGGTTAAAACATGTTGTTTCGGGTGTGTTCTAGAAAATAATTTACTTTTTTTCAAATACAAATTTAGTGAAGACCTGTTTGACTATATATATTTAATGTGTGTAATTTACTTTTAAAAAATTATTGAAGTTATTTTTTCCATTTGCATATAGTAATTTCAAGTATACGAAAACTTTAATTTTAAACGTTACCTAAAATTTTTTGTAAAAGTAAATTTGAAAATAAAAAATGGTTTTGTTTTTCAGAACTGGCAAAGAAGTTATGATTTTTTTTTTTTGTTTTTTTAATGATAATTAGTAAAAGAATAAAACTAGTTAGACTTAATGCATGTGTATAAGCGTTTTCAAAGATAGCAAAATCAAATGAGCACAAACAGCTTGGGACCCATTTGATAGAAAATTTATTCGTTTTCCATTTTTAAAACCAGCATATTTGGCAGCCTCATAACCTATAGAATAGTTTCCAGATTATTTGTAATATTATATTTGCTCTACAATTAATTTTTTGTTTTTTTAAATAGCTTTTTTTTTGTTTTTTTTTAATTTATTTGATAAAGCAAACTAACTTTTTTTTAATTTTATTTTAGGGACACTATATTCAAAGAATAGGGTGAAATTTGAATGTCTAGAGTCGATGATTTGAATATTAACTAAACAAGTTTTTGCTAAATTTTTATTTTGAACATTATAAAACTATTTTGATCGAAAATATAACTTGTTAATAATTAACTTATTTAAAACCAAGTAATGTCCTGTATATGTAATATATAACATTTTTCAAATCGTAGGAAATTTTAAAATCTAAAATAAAAAATGTTGGGATATCTGTTTCGCTAATCTAAAATCTAGCTTTTCATTCTGTAAATTATTTTGAAGTGATTGTGACTAACAATATTTTTAATAAGTTGAGATAAAGTTCTTTAAGTGAACCACTTATTTTATAAGAATTTTAGACAAAATAAAAAGAATTAGTTTTTATATATAATTTTCAATTAAAAGCTACGACTTTTCAAAATTTTCATACTTTTGCTCGGTTACAAAATTAACAGTATATTTTGAAACATCCAAGAATGCGTTTGGAACTACTTTTTACAGAATTCATTTTAACAGAAGTATTTCTATTATAAGTACGCGCTTGGTAATAAGAAACTTTTCTATTTTTCCATTTTAGTTCAAATTAAAATTTACCAAAGCTAGCTCCAATTATCAAATACTTCTTTTGATTTTAATAAAATAAATGCCTTTTTTTTATCTCATTAGAAGAACTTATTTTCAGTTAATCAATATTTACTTCACAAATATTCGTACAATTTTAAAATTAAAATATTTTATTATTTTGACTAAAATGAAATTAGAACAATTAAAATGAAAAATATAGAAATAGGGAGAGAAAGTGTTGGCAGAGAGTGACCTAGTAAGGATAAGAGGGAATTAGAGATAAAAATTACACATGTAGAGAGAATGTATATATAAATAAACTGGTAGTGATAAGACCACTATAAAACTAAAACTTAGGTGTCGTTTTAATTAGTTGAAAGCTTTCACTCCCGTCAAAAACTATACCAAACTCACTCACTAAAAAAAATTAAAAAATAAGAATTAAAAACCTTGAAATATTTATTGGAGAAAACATTTCACTAGTGCTTTTTGATAAATAAAAAACATGCTTATAGAAAAAATGTTTCATTTTTCGAAATATAAATATTTGCACATTCGAAGAATAATCGAGGTGATCAGCCGTTGGAGGGTATTATGAAGAAAAAGTATTCGCTTAAAAACACTACTTCAGATCATCCTCTTAAACTCACTTCAAAGGAGTAGAACATATATTTTCATTAATTATATGCCAAAATTAATAATGCCTAAAAAGTAAGAACTTGACGTTATTAGGTCAAATAAGCCACTAATCATGACCAAGAATGTTTTCTCATCTTGTTTAATCCTACAAAAGTGATACTAAAAAACTCCCAACCCCCAACTTCTTGTGTCTACACTAAGAAAATGATTTAAAAAGTAAGTATATGAGAACCCACTAATAATTAATTCTCAAAGTAACAACTTTCATGCCAAATTTAAAATTTCCCCCATGTTACATATGAGAGATAATTTTCATAAAAACCTTAGAGAAAATATAGGGGTGACCTTTTATCAATGGTATATGATTTATTTGTTGAGCTAGACCATCAATGGTATATGATTTATTTGTTGAGCTAGGTTTAGGTCGACATATATTAGAAATATCGATGCTTTAAATTCAAACACTAATTTCTCTGTACAATTCTAATGAATACAAAAAATAATAAAGTTTTAGTTGGAGTATATTTTATACAGATTATTCATCAATCATATAACTTATCCAATAAAAAAATCAACAAAGTCACAAGTTTTATGTTAAACATTTCATTAAAATTTTATAACAAATACATGCATGTGTGTGAGAAGTTGAGGACTACTCAAATCTACTCCATCAAAACCAACTAAACCCTGATTCACAAAAATTTGTAACACCAAAATTTTATAAAAGCACCCTAACAAACAAAGATTAGTTTAACGTAAAGAGTTCGAATACTATAATTCTTCCACCATTCATTAGTTTTCAAATTTAAAATACAAATAAAACCATAATATTGAAAATCTAGGAAAAAAACTTTAAGGTAAAGAATTTATGAGAATCATTACTTTTCAAAATAAAAATAGAAAAGAATAAAAAACCATAACATTGAAGAGAGAGAACAAAAGAAATTGAACTAATGTTGACTTTGCAAATATGTCTATGAAACTATAAGGAGAGGAGAATTTTAGCCTAGCCTAGCTAGGTAGACTAAAAGTTAATTATAAAAAAGCTCATTGGTCGCCCAGAAAAGATGGAATTAATACAGCTTAGTTGAAAGTAAGGGAAAAAAAAAAAGAAAAAAAGACTAGCTATCTGGTCGTCCTTCCTCTCCTCTCATGGTAAAATTACATAAACAAAAATAAAATAAAATAAAACAAAAAATAAACTACCTGATATATTTTGGATCACTGATTGAAGTTGGCTGGCATGGATGTTTGTTGCATTTGAAAAATCTGAAGAAAACAAAGATTCAAGGTAACCATCGGTATAAATAACATAGCATTAAAATATGTAAATTCAGATATAATATAATATTTATGTACCTATCACATGCGCAATAATTAGAAATTAAAACTTAAAAAGCAAATATTAAATTTCCAGTTAAATATTTATATTTATCCATTAACTTATTTGACCAACCTCTAAAATATTTTAGCAGCTCCATTTAACAATAATTTTATTATTAATTTCCTTTATTTAGACACTAGAAAAAAAAAGTAATAAGCAAAGAAATTAGACAAAATTCTAAAAATTATTCTAAAAAGTAAATAGAGTAAGTTAAACCTAAATATAACGAAGAAGTATGGTATATTTGGGAAAAAAAAATGACAATTTGTACACTAAATTTATGGTATTGTGTGAAATTTTTCAAAAAAGAAATCATGTGATGAGAGTAATGATGAAGAAAATTTTGAGAATAAGATGATGTCCCAAATTATTAAAAAAATGGAACTCGTGACTCTGCCAGGCAAGGGGTTCTGTAGTATAAAGACGTAACGACATAAAGAGAACAAAAGCGACAACGCAAGAAACAAAAAACCCTAAATGTACTGCATGCCCTTCACTGTCGTCATGCAACACAACGTGCCAGACGGAATAAAAAGAAAAAACCCTTTTTTTTCATTTCCAAAATGAAAATAAAATAAAAACCCCTTTTCTCTTCTTTTTATTTTTTAAACAATCAACGCCCAAATCCAAATCCAAATCCCCACGACTGGAAGAGCAGTAACAGTAAAAAGCATTTTTAAGACACAATTACCAATAACGCCCTCCACGTTACTTTGGCAGCATTTTAAAAAGAAAAAATTAGTCACTAAATTTTTTTTAAATTAAAATTAAATTTAACGTAGGTACCTGTTTCTGTCTGTACTTTTCTTCTCCTTCTGCTTCTTCTTTTTCTTCCTCTTCTTCTTCTTCTTCTTCTTCTTCTTCACTGGTAGTTTCCACCTCCGAACGCTTGGCTTGACGGCGCAGAGTTGCTCTCACTTGGGTCCAATACGATCCCTTGCGGCGGTTGCTTATGCCCTCCGCCGCCGCCTCCTCCACCGCTGCTCATGCTTCTCACGATCTGTCCAACGCCGAGGAAGTCTCTCGTTAACCTATCTGTCCCGCCCATGCTGACCGCGGTCAGATTCTGCTGTAGCTTCGGATCCTCTAAGGTTTCCATGTTGGTCGTTCTGTTGCCGCCGCTGTCGAATCCACCGAACGAGTTCATCCCATTCCCAGCTCCAAAGATACCACTGGCCGAGCCGCCGCTCGCGAATGAGTTCATCAGATCTTGCAAATTGTTCTCGTTTTCCCCAAACACTCCGCCGTAGCTCGGCGGAAACAGCATCCTGTCCGACGGTTTCCCACCAGATGACGAGGAGCTCCCGAATGTTCTGAGCAATGTTGCCGTCGTGTTGCTGCTCGACGTGGTGGAGCCGAGTTGAGCTGCCTTTTGAAGAAGCGCCGTCGCCGACATGTGTGGCATACCTCCACCGCTGCCGCCAGCGACACCAACACTGACTCCGGTTGCATTGCTGTAGAGAGACGGCACTGCACCTGAACTGATTTGATGATCGCCCATTATGTTAACCGAGAATATATTAGCCGCCCCACCTTCATTACTTCCATTGTTTCCGCCACTGAATTGATTTAGCAAAGAGGATTGAAGATTGTTGTTGTTGTTGCTGCTGTTGCTGTTTGTATTATTGTTGTCGCCAGTGGGATTTGAAATGAATCCCAAGTTGAAGAGGTTCGTGGCGGTGGTGGCAGGGTTGTTATTACTACTCGTATGACTTTGGATATCAGATGGGAATTGCATTAGCCCATGAAACCCCTTGTTCCCAAACAACCCTTGTTGGGATTGGCTCTGATGATCTTCATGGAAGCTATTCTGGTTAGTTTGATCGGTTAGGAAGAAAGCTGCGGATGACGACGACGATGGCATTGCCTGCTGCGGGGGCCGGAAGGACGAGCCAATCGACGGGGGAAGAAGGTGGCTGAACTGCCCGGCTCGGGCACCACCGAGGCGGAGGACGTCGTGGGCTGATTGGGAAATATTGGGATGGTCTTGGAGAGAGGATAACTGAGGGACTTGAGATAGGGTCAACCCGACATTATTGGTGTTAGTTCCATATAAATGGCTTCCAATGGCGGATCCTAAGTTGGGAGGGTGTCTTGCGCTTTCTTGGGCCAGTGCGTCGCAGAAGGCTCTGTGGGTGATGAAACTGTCCCGTCTGCAAAAACAAAAAATTCAAAATTTGTTCAAATAAATTAAAGGGCATATAGTATAGCAATAATATGAGTAGTATAGATCTTTTCTGCGATCAGCTTCTCTTCTCTTGACTGGCTTATAAATTGGATAAAAGAGAATAAAAGACATATGATAACGGAGGATTTTGAAAAGACAAAATTGAAGAAACAGCTAGTGTGTGTATCGTATATTCCAAATGGTAATAGATTTTTGCAAAGAAAAAAAATTTCTTATATATGAGCACAAAATTTTACCAACTACCAAAGATATTGAAAGTCGTTTTGTTACATTATATTTTCTACGAAAAAATTCAAACTTTAGTGGGTCCATTTCACAAGGGGTTCACGGATTCTTAATCCAAACCCATGCATCCCACGCCCACACATGAAATAACTGTAACAAAAAAAATGTAATTACAACATTCAAAATTATCACTATTATAAATACATCAATGAATGAGGGATTATTGTTACGATTAATTAGTGGTAATGCTCGGTAGGAAACCTAAGAAAAAAGTGAGAAACAAAAACGGGATCAATTAATTAATTAATTGATTTGGTATAGAAGTGAAGGTAAGAAACAAAAAGGAAAGGCCAAAAAGAAAAGGAAAAGAGAGAGTTATAAGTGTACAGCGTACTCAGCATTGGAAGAACTGAGCGTTCAATAAATGCGTAAAGAGGGAACGTATCCAACATCATGGAAAGTGAAGAATCGATCGAGGAAACCCATGTAAGGGACGGGACTCTTGTATGACTCATCTCAATCAATAGAGAGACAAGACCAGACCATATAATATATATTTTATATATATATATATAACATCACATTCCTGAAATTAATGTGGTTAAGGGAAAATAGGTGCGCAGAAGAAGCACGATCCAAATCCAAACCCAATCCAATCGCTCTCCAGTTATGGGAATATAAGGCGGAAGGCAACACGTGAAGGCGAAAAGGGGCGGTGTTCCCGAGAGGGAGAAGAAATTAAAGAAATGATTAAAATTAAATTAAATTAATTAAAATGGAGATTAACCTGGAGAAGAGAGTGCCGCAGTCGCAGCGGTACTCGCGGGTGCCGCAGGTCTTGGAGTGGGCTTTCCAGTCGGACTGGACGGCGTAGCGCTTGGAGCACTTGTCGCACTTCCACTTCTTCTCGCCGTGCTTTCTGGAGTAGTGCTTTTTGATGCCGGTGAGGTCGCCGAGGGCTCGTGAGGGGTCGTGGTGGACGCAGCTGGGCTCGGGGCACAGGTACACCTTCCGCTTCGGCTCCTTGGTGCTCTTCTGCTTCAGCTTCCACGGCAAGTTGTGGCCTCTTCTGTGCAGCTGCAGATTCTGCTCCCTCTGGAATCCCTTGTTGCACACCTCGCATATGAACCTGTTCGTCGCCATTAGCGTCTTCGGACTCAACGCAATCACCTCCGCATCTGGATCTGCGTACACACGAAAAATTCAATTCCAATTCCAATTCTAATTTAGGGTTTTCCAATTCCAAATTCCAATTTAATTCTATTGTTGGGGTACTTGCTTGGTGTTCCTGGCTGGTTCCTCTTTTTCTTCGGAGGTGGGGCCGCCGTCGACGAATTCGAATGCTGCTGCTGCTGCAGCTGCGGATTATTATTCCTCTGCGCTACTTCTTCTCGAACTCCAAATACTGGTACAGATGAAGAAGACGCAGCCATCTTCTATATAAATTCAATTCAATTCCACCTCTAATTTTCTTCTTCTTCTTCCTCTGAAATTAAATTGACTACCTTTTCCTTCTTTTCTACGCACATGCAAAAACAGAGCGGTTTCCTTCAAATCAATTCGGAATCTTGAATCTGAAAACAAGCAAGGAATAGAGCGAGACGGAGACACAGAGAGAGAGAGAGAAAGAGAGAGAGAGAGGGAGGAATTAAAACCTAACAAGCTTAGAAGAAGCTATGGGAATAAATTGGAAGCAAAACTTGGGATATGGAGATGGAGGATGAAGAGAAAGATAGAGGAATCCACTCCATCTTTGCAGCCATTAGATGCTTTTACTCTCTCTCTCTCTCTCTCTCTCAACTTCTATATTGCCCTTTTTTTTTTTCCTTTTTCTCTCCTCTTTTCCTTGACCCCTCCTTTTCTTTTGCCTGTTTGGTTTAAATCAGAGAGGGAAGGAAAAAAAAAAGAAAAAAAAATGGTTCCGAGTAAGTGATGTTACTCTCTGCGGTTCTTCTTTGGTTTGGTGTCATGCAGATACAGAAGCACATATACATAGAGGAAAAAAATAAAAAAGACCACAATTCAGATTTTTTTTTTAATATTTATTAAAATAATTTCCCCATTTTTATTCTCTACTGCTTCAGATTTAACTCAAAAATTTTTGCCTGCCATCAATAAAAGTACAAACTGGAAATTAATTGAAGGGAGAGAGAGAGAAAGAGAGAGAGAGAGGGTAAGGCCTACAGGTCGGTGGACCCAATCCACAGCCGCATAACGACATCGTATGGTGCGTGAGGGCAGCATGAACAGCTCTTTCTCTTTCTCTCTCTCATATTTCGTATCTTGTTACTCACTTCCAGACAACCCTTTCTTCGTCACCCTGCCTTGGTGGGCCTCACTGCTTAACAGGGAAATCGAAATATTTAAAATTAAAAAAAAAAAGAAAACCGGAAAAAAATAATAATAATTTTTTTAAAAAGAAAAAGGGAAAAAGAAAAACTCAACCCTTTTGGGAGAGATCAGAGAGATCAGAAAAAAGGAAATAGAAAGTGGAGAGTGGAATTGGAAAACACCTGAAGGGAGAACTCAAGGGAATTGGATGAGGCTGTTTGTGTTTGGCTGAATTATTTCACCTTAAACAACACACGTATAATAATAATTATTATAATAAATAAATAAATGATCAATTTCACTGTTTCATGATAATATAAATATAAATATAAACAAAGGTAAGCCTTTTGCTTCCCTCCCGCTAGGGCTTCCTCCGGTTGCGGGATCTGTAAAATGAGGGCAAAAAGATGCTGTCTCTAATTAACACCGTGTTTGGCTCGGTTACATGGCCGTCACATCATGCCGCAAGGGCACTTTCGTCATTTCATCCACTGGTCGAATCAAATTTGTAAACCTAAACCTAACCCTTCAAAACCCAAAAACACACTCACTTCGAATATTTCTCCATTATTAAATCCCGGGACCATTTTTTTAATGATTTTATTTATCCCTGCTCGTAAATTTTTAAGTATTTCCGAAAATTCCATATTTGTTTCGATTTTTATTCTGAGAAATTTTCTCAAGTGTTTACCCTTAATTTTTATATATAAAAATATATTTGGAGATAAAGGATATATTTTTTTTTTCTTTGGGACCTGGTCTGATTTTAGTCTATTGGATGCTTCAGAATGACAATGTTTAGTGACATAAAAGAAATTCGAATATATTTATGGGCTAATTAGGCATATGGATTTTTTATATATATTATAGTAGGTTATCAAACTATCATAAAATTTTAATTGATTGGAAAATAATTCTAATCTATGTATTTTCATGGGAAAAATGATAATTTCCTCTTCAAACTTTTAATATGAAAATTTTAATCTTTGTGGTCTAAATTTTGCAACAATTTAATTCTTACAATGAAAAGTCTCGTCAAAGTAAAATTTCAATTTTTATTGTGTAATAGTTTAGCTCTTATAGTATATAGACACATTCAGTCTCTGAATATTTTATCGATGTGTATATAGGTAAGAAACTCTATTACACTTTGACAAAATTCTAAACGGTGAGAACCAAATTTTTACAAATTTGGAATTAACTACATAGATTAATTAGTGTATATATTAAAGCTTTAGAAATTAAGGGTCAATTTCATCTTATTTGTGTTTGCTAAGTTTTAATTAAAAGAAATAGACTTGTATCGGTCCAATACCCATGGATTCAAGAATGATAAAACAATTTTTTTATTTGTTTTTTCAAACAAATTGGAATCGAGAACATGAACAAGAAAGTTGTTTTTGTTTTTTTCCAAAATTTCTATACAATAAAATACATTTTTTAAAAAAATGAGAAACCAACGCAAACATAAATAGTTGTCAAATACTTAGATATTTTAATAAAATTGAAAACGAAAAACAGAAAACAGAAACATTACCAAATGGGCCTTTAAATTATAACAAATTTGAAAATACATTAAGCGCCGTTTGGTAACGTTCTCATTTCTTATTTCTTGTTTTCATTTTATTTTAAGAAATCTAAGCATTTTGCAACTAATTATGTTTTTATTTTTATTTTTTTTAAAACATAAATAAAAAAATTGTTTCAGTAAATCACTCAAAACTAAAATCAATAGTTAATGTGAGAGGTATAGGGATAGATTAAACCATTTTGACCCAATTTAATCTTACAGTACACAACCAATTCTATTAACACGACATATTGCAATTTTTCTCCCACTAAATTTATTTAATTTACTCCATATTAAATATTATTATTTAAATGTTAATAATATTAGGTGACATAATGTTGGATATTTTCCAAGGTAATAATTTAAAGTAAACTAATTATATTCCTAATAATTAGGTCACATTCTGTATGGTGTCTGAATTTCTTTTTCCCCTAAGAAATCTTTTAACAAAGGAAAATTGCCTATGTTGAACTATTGGGTAAAAGTACTGAAATTAACTTGTAAACTACATAAATTTTATAATTTCAATTACTTAATAATAAAAAATAAAAAGAGAATTCCAGCGCTATCAAAGAATTATTGGGGAGATGGAACGATAAAGATGGTTTTTTTTTCTACGGACAAGATATTACATTAAATGAGAGAGAGAGTGGAACCTGTCACTCATACAGAAAAATGTTTATGCTTAACTTTGAAAAAATAAATAATAAAAAAGTTTTACATCCTTTATGAAATGATTGTAAAAAGGTTATCTTTTTTAATTTTTTTCGAAGGGTTGAATCTCAAGCATGACTCCAAGACCACTTTTTACCGTTACAATACTGTTCATTTATGAGATTTAAAAGTATTTTCAAGATGTGATCATAAATAAAATCTCCTTTGATATAAATTTTTTTATTTTATTATTATTATTTTAGTACAACATGTGGGGATGGGGAATGGAACACGCTTGCTTTGGTATATAAATTTTATTTTTTAAAAAATAAGTTCTTCGAACTAGTTGTTTATTAATAATTAATTTGTTTCTTTTTATCACGGAAGTTTAAAATGAAAAAAGAAAAAAAGTGTTTTTTATGCTGCTCTCCAAAACAATTTGATTTTCAAAAATTAAGTTTATGTATTACTATTTTTTTTATTTTTAATTTGTTTTTTGAAGTCTTACCCCCACATTCTTATACATAAAAGAATTTTTTTTAGTAACTTGTATAATTTTAAATCTTTTTTTATTTATATCTCTCAATTTATACTCTCTAAAAATATTTCTCTTTAAAAAGTTTTTTTTTTTATTTCTCTAGACTTTTATTTTCATGTCCTTAGGGAGTGATAAAAATCCTACACGGATCGTATGAAATAATAAATATATATTTTATTCATTAGTTTACTAATTAAGAATAAAAATAATAAATATATTTTTAAACTAATTATTTATACTAGTAAAAAATATTTATATATATATATTTCTTACTCTTTCTAATTTTTTAAATTCTAAAAATAATTAAAATTAATTACTAAATTGATACTTTTTTCCATCAAGATTTTTCGTCCGCAAACAAGGATTCCTCAACATGGACTTCGAATTTCTCTAACTTTTTAAAAAAAAAAATCTTTCCCTGAGATTACGCGTTTGGCAAGGACACAACCTTATGCTATCATATATGATTCTATCGAGAGGTCTTGTATTCAAGCCCTAGCTTTTTGATTTATTATATTTTAGTCTTTGAACATTAAATTTTTTTTTTTTTTACTTTAGACACTAAAATAGATTTTTTAAAAATCTAGTGACTAAAATAGGGTTTAAATCATTTAATTACCGGACATTTCTTAAACATTTTCTTTTTTTGTTTTTTCTTTCTCAATTTTGCAAAGTAGGTTATTTGGAAGTGGTTTGATATCGTTTATGTTTCTTATTTGTTGTTCTAGTTTTTTAGGAATAAGTATTTTTTGTAAAAGTTTATGTTTTTCATTTTTCATTCTTAAGAAACATCCATAAATCGTATATAATTTTTGGAAACAAGTCTTAAATCTATTTGATAACGTTCACTATTTATGGTTTCTCATTTCTTATTTATAATTTTCTCTTTTTAATAAATTAAAATAAAACTACACTTAGTTTCTTACTATTTCTTTTTTAGTAAAAAAAAGAAACAAAACCATGTTCGTTAACTGTTCCCTTATTTCTCGATTTCTAAAACTTTATATGAATTTTAATTTTAAAAATAAATATTAAAACTTTTATGGTGATATTTATTTTTAATAATTATTATGAATTTTATAAGTCATGAAGATCAAATAAAAATTTTATTTATATTTTAGAAAAGCCTGGAAACAGAAAAAAAACAAGAAAATTGAATTTGTAGTTTTTGAAATTTCTACACCATTTTCAAAACCTTTTTTGAAATTAATAAACTAGAAACAAGATCAGTTGACAAAAACTTATTAAAAAATTAGAAATGAAAAACTAGAAACAAAACATCGAACATTACTAAACAACTCCCTAGTTTCTTATTTCTTATTTTTTTCCAACTTTTCAAATAAATAAATAAAAAGTATTCTTTTATCATTTTTTACTTATAAGATTTATGATAATAATAATTATATTTTAAACACAACATAAATTTTTAAATAACTTCTCATATATAATTTTTATTTCTCTAGTTTAATATTTGGAAAAAAAAAATACATTTTAAATTGATTATCAAATACATTTATGTTCTTTTGTTCATAGTTGTCCAACAAAATTATTTTTCGTTTTTTAACAATCATGAGACAAGAAATGATAAAAGAAACAAGAACATTATTAAAGGAGTCATTTAATAACAAAATCTTGTTGTAAGTCTAATATATCTCAAGCTAAAAGGTAAGTTTGAATCTCCACCTCCACATATTATTATATTAAAAAAATAACAAACTCTCGTTTTACAAAACTGTAAGTGAATGTCAAAAATAAAAAGTAGTTTTTAGAAAACAGATTTTTGTTTTTCAATTTGTTTTCTTTAACACTATGTTTTTAGCTCAAAGACATAACATTTTTTTTAGTAATAACATATGGGGGTGTAGAATT